CACGGTCCGGGGGGGGTAGTCTGGGGGCGGGGCACGGGGACCGGGCTCCCGGTGGGGCAGGGGGTACTATGGGGAAGGGACAGTGTTGGGGGGTAGTCCAGGGGGCAGGGCACGGTCCCGGGGGGGGGGTACTCCGGGGGCGGGGCACGGTCCCGGGGGAGGGGGTAGTCCGGGGGCGGGGCACGGGGACTGGGCTCCTGGTGGGGCAGGGGGTACTATGGGGAAGGGACACTGTGTGTGTATGGGGGTGTCGCTGCTTGTCCCTGGCCAGCCCTGACCCACGCTCTCTCTCGCAGGGCCCATCTCCACAGTGGTGGCTGCAGCCCCCTCCGACGGGCCCCTGTCAAACGGGGTCTACGTGCCCCCCAGCGCGGCCAACGGAGATGTCAAACCCGTGGTCTCCACCACTCCCCTGGTAGACTTCCTGATGCAGCTGGAGGACTATACCCCCACGGTACGGGGCTGGGGGCTAGGACTCCTGGGTTCCACCCCGCCTCGGGGGGCTGGGATCCAGAACTCCTGGGGTCTAGTCTCAGTGCTGGGTGGTGGGTCTGGGGAATTAGGTGTTTGAGCCTTGTTAGTGCCACTGTGTGAGTGGTTTGGGGTAAGGGCTTTACTCTTGGGGTGGGGGGTAGCTAAAAGTTTGTCCCCTTTAATACTTTCCCTTCTTCCCAGATCCCAGATGCTGTCACAGGCTACTACCTCAACAGAGCTGGATTTGAGGCCTCTGATCCACGCATGTAAGTGATGCATGGTACTATTAGCACAATCGCCAACCACCCTGAGTAGGAGACCCCCCTCTGTCAGGTCTTTGTGCTGTGGGGTCCAGCAGGCACTCCTCAGCCCTGGCCGCCCACACTCAGTGTTCTGTCTCAGGCTGCTCCGTTGCTTTCTCTGACTGCAGCATTCGTCTCATCTCACTGGCTGCCCAGAAGTTTATTTCGGACATTGCTAATGATGCCCTGCAACACTGCAAGATGAAGGGCACAGCTTCCGGCAGCTCCCGCAACAAGAGTAAGGTGAGGGTCTGCCCTGGGAAGAGGCTGTGAGGGGACAGCCAGCAGGGCTGGGTAAGACCCTGTTCCTCTGGCTTGGGCACAAGGCCCTCCCACAGTGGTGGCCAAATGAAATTCAACATGGTTAAATGCAGAGTAAAGTCACTGGAGAACTATGAACTCCTCGTACACCTCACAGGGTTTAAATGAATTGTATTGGCTCAGGGAAGGGAGCTGGGTGTCAGTGCAGGCAGTGGAGACCTCTGCTTAGTGCACAACTGCAGGCAAAACAAACAAACCATGTTTAGTAGTATAAGGAATAGGATGGAGAATATTCTAATGCCTTTGAAACAAGCAGTGATGTGGCCCTAGCTGGATACTGCAGGATTGGTCCCGTCTCTCACAGGGTAGGGCAGAACTAGAGGGGCTCAGATAAGGGCACCAGGAATGGTCAAGGGCCTGGAAAACTCTTCTTTGTAGTATGCAGTGTTGGTCCCAGGATATTAGAGAGACAAGGTGGGTGAGGTAAGGTCTTTTATTGGACCAACTCCTGTTGATGAGAGAGTTGAGCTTCCACAGAGCTCTTCTTCGGGTTTGGGAAATCCAAGCCAAGCAAAGCTTGTATTTAGCCGTGACACTTGGAGTTAATGTTGGATGGCTGTCCTCAGCCTGGTTTGGATTTCTTGCATGGTTTCCAGGTAACTTTCCTGACGGACTTTCTTCCAGTGTATGGGAGCACGTGGTGATTTCTTATTGGAGCGTGTGGTTCCTTAGCCTTTCTGAAGTCCGGCTGCAGAGGGGTCTAGCCACTGAGATCTCTGGGGAGGATGCGCTGTTTCTCGTGTTTGCTCAGGAAGTAGAGGTCGCTGTTGAGCTCTGTGTAAGGTGGACAACTTGTCTCTGTCTCCAACATAAGGTGGTCCAATAAAAGTGATTCCCTCCCCCACCTTGTCTCTTCACGGGGAGGGGGTGGGGGAAGGCGCCTGGCAGCAGCTCCCCTGCTGTTGCTGACCCTGCCTCCTGTCCCTACAGGATAAGAAGTACACACTGACCATGGAGGACCTGATGCCAGCACTTGCAGAGTACGGCATCAATGTGAAGAAGCCACACTATTTCACCTAGTGCCTGAGCTGGGCCTGCAGCCATGCCTGGGGCCTGGCCCCTCGGGTGAAGGACGGGAGCTCTTCTCTGGTCTGTTATTAAACAGTTGATGTTGGCTGGTAGTTTGTGTGTGAGGGGCCGTTTGCTGCCTCTGGCTGTGCTAATGCCCTGCCCTGGCCCAGGGTGCAGGGGCTGGTGGTGGTGGGACAGCCCCTCAGGCTCTGCTCTGGGAATGGAGAATGTGCATTTGCACAGGTGCTATATGTCAATGCAGGGGAGCTAACCTCATCCCCACACGCTTGTGGGGGGAGGGTAGCAGGCTGGAGAACTCCCCCCTTTTGGCTTCTGTGTCTAACACTTTCTGGGGTTTGGGGGCAGCAGGTAGGTGTTCAGCTCGGGGGGCCTAGGGCTGGGACGTGGGTGCACTTGACCTCTGGATCCTACAGACAGTGCTGCTGTTGCGTGGGCCCTGCAGGCCAAATGGCTGAACCTTGGGGGTTCCCCATGCCCTGCTCTGAGGCCCTTCATTGCCTGTGCCGGGTATGTGGAATGAGGGGCTGGCCCCACCCCATAGTGGGGAGAGGGATGTGCCAGCTGTGTGTGCATGGCTACGTGCTCCCACCTGGTCCCACAGGGGTAAGCAGTGCTCTAGGATCAATGTGCAGTAAGAACTCAGCTCCTCCTTAAACCTCCTGCAACTCCCTCTGAGTTCCTAGACTGGGGGGGGGAATCACAGGTCAGGGGCCACTGCGCTAGGGGGCCACAGCAGGGAGAGTCCTGTGCCCCAGAGGACAGCTGGAGGATTTGTGCCCCCCCCCCCCCCCCACGCCAAGGCCAGACAGGCTCATTGTGGTCATCGAGCCTGACCCCCTCTCTAACAGGCCAGAGCCCTGCACCCCAAGAACTCCTACAGCTTCTCTTTGGGGACAGCCTTGTTGCTGGGTGAGTCACACGGGGCCAGTTTTCATAACAAATGTTTATTTCAGATGCTGGCAGCTCTTCCATGTGGCCTGGCTGGAAATTACTTAAAAAGGTGAAGCACAAAGCCAGAGCAGCACTAGGGGCAGGCAGACAAGTGAGGCCCTGTCCTGCGGGGAGGGCACTGGGATGAGGGTAATTTATATATAATATAAAGAGGGGTGGGGTGTCGTTCTGTGCCCGTGAGAGTGAGGAGAGGTATAAGGTGCTGGGTGGCTCAGAGGCCTGACCCTAGCCCTGTGACTAGTAGCCACCCTCACCCCCTAGCAGGTGCTGGCTCAGGCCAGGCCCCAGGGCCGCCAGCCTGTACCCACAGCTTGGGGGAGGATGGAGGTGGCTGCTATGCAGTGGGTCCTGGGAGCCTCAGGGTTGGTGGCTGGAGCAGGAAGCTTGCAGGGCGGCTCCAGGGGAGACAGCACCATCCGTACCATGTGTCTGTGGCCGGCTCAGGTTGCGGGGTCTGGGAAAGCACCAGCACCGCCTGCTGGGAAGGGCGGGGCACCTCCTGAAGGCACTTGGAGGGGGCGGGGGCAGCTTGGCAGCAGCAAGCAGCAGGGGGGCTGGCCCCTATTTCTCCTGCATCTTCTCCAGGATGGGGACGATCATGTCGAACTTGGGCCGTTTCGCAGGGTCCTCATTCATACAGATCTTCATCAGCTTGCAGATGTGTGGGGAGATGCCAGGCGGGATGGTTGGGCGTAGCCCCTCCAGTGCCACCTGGGGGCAAGCAGGATGAGAGCTGGGGACAGGTATGCACCAAGGCCACAGGCCCCCTCTCCCCCCGCTGGATCCTTCCCACCCACTCCCTGTGGGTGACCCCAGCCTCTCCAGTGAGCTGCGGGGGGCTGGGCCCTGCCTCCCCACTCACCTTCATGCCGATCTCCATGTTGGACAGGTCTGCGAAGGGCACCTCGCGTGTCACCAGCTCCCACAGCAGCACCGCAAAGCTCCACATGTCGGCCGAGCGCCGGTTGATTTCCTCTGGCTTCTTCTGCAGTGCTGCAGGGAAGCCAGCGGGGGAGCTATGAGCATAGTGGGGGAGGGGTCAGGGAGAGCGCACCCCAGGAAGGGGCATCCAGCCACTAGGCTGGGAGGGACTAGGAGGTAGCAGCCCCTCTTGGGATGGGTAGAGCTGTGGTAACACCCCCGGGTTCCTGGCACTCACCCTCAGGTGCCACCCAGGCTGGGGCATACATCCTGCCTGGGCACTGGAAGGAGAACTTCACATCAGCCATGCTGATACGCGCCGTCATGTCCTCGTCGATCTGCGGGGAGAGAGGCGGTCAGCCAGCAGCCTGGCCCCCTGGAGCGCTGAGAGCCCCATCCCCCTGCACTCACCATGATGCTGCGGCTGTTGAGATTGTGGCGTGGGATGAGGGGCTCCAGTGTGTGCAGGAAGGCCATGCCCCGGGCGATGTCCAGGGCAAACTTCACTGCTTGCATCTGATCCACCACAAAGTCTGCAGGGAGACAGTGAGCATCAGTGCTGGGGGGGGGGGACATGGGGCTGGACGGACGGACAAGGGGAGCAGGACGTGGGGCTAGCGCCGGGGGAACGAAGGGACTAGGGGAGCGGGATGCAGGGCTGCTGCCAGGGGTATGGACAGATGAGGGGAGTGGGGCTGGTGTGGGGGTCGCTGCCAGCACTGGTGGGGATGGATAGAGGGATGACGTGGGGCCAGCGCCAGGGATGGACAGATGAGGGGAATGGGGCTGGCGCCGAGGGGACGGATAGAGGGATGAGGGGAGCAGAATGCGGGGGTGGGAGGGGCGGATGCGGGACTGAGGCTGGCATTGGGGGAAGTGGCGAATGGGACGGGGGTGTCTGTGCTGTGTGTGTAGAACACAGGCTGAGGGGTGTCAGAGGTTGGGACTGGATAAGGCAATTGCAGGATGGGACACCCCCCCCCCGACCCCAAGTGCTGAAGGCCAGGTAGGACAGGCCCCAGGGGTGAATTCTGGGCCAGTTCTAGTACCAGAGATGTCGTGTCGTGTACCCCCCGCCCTGCAGTGGTTTTCCTTGGCCTAGGAGTGCGTGGTACGTCCCCTGCCCTGACACTCACTCGTCCCCTCGTGTAAGACGTTGTAGAGGGAGCCGTAGGGCATCCAGTGCGTGATGATGATGGGGTGCGGGGCGGGGGGCGACTGGCAGGCCCCCAGCACTGGCAGAACATTGGGGTGTGAGAAGATCCTGGAAGAGAGAGGAATGTGAGAACAGTAGGCTCCCCACCCCTGCCAGCCCCAGCTCCCCAGCACCTACCGGAGCTTGGGATGCTCCTCGTTGAAGTCTCGGCTTTTCCGCGTTGTCCAGTCCCGAATTTTCATCACTTTGATAACGATGTCGTTGCCCTGCCAGCGCCCCTTCCACAGCTGCAGGGAGACAGAACAGAGTCAGCCGGGGGCGGGGTGGGGAATGCTGTGGGGCGGAGCCGGGGACAGGGTCAGCTGGGGTGTCAGTCAGGGATTGGGGAGCCGGGGACAGAGCAGGGACGGGGGAGGGGACGGGGTTAGCTGGGCACAGAGGCTGGGGTGAGCTGGGAGGGACACAGCCTGACTGGTAGGTACTTACGTGCCCCCCACTGGCAGGGGCCATGCCCCCTCTTTGTTAATGGAGTCTCCACTCCCCCCAGGGAGGCAGGGAAGGGCTCCTACCCCATGGCCCAGAGGGGAGCTGGGCAATGAGACGCTGAGGGCTGGTCCCAGGCCCCACAGCATCCGAGACCTGCGCAGCGAGCAGCCCCACTGTGGCGCTGGCCCCCTCCCCTTGGCCGGGCCCCCCTGTTGTGGCTGCCTGGAGAGGCTCCTACCCCCCCGGGACCTGCCACGGATGCCCCCCCACACACCTCTCCTGACTGGTTCTCGTTGAGTTTGTGGCCCAGGCTCAGCTGCTTGAAGTCTATGCCGGCCAGTTTGTTCAGGGTCCCGTTTCCTGCCGTGAGAAAGGGAGACACTGTCACACCCCAGGGACCCCTGCCTGCACCCCTCCCGCACCCTGGGGCTCCCTCCCCATGGAGAGACTTGGCCCTCCTCCCCCTAAACAAACCCACTGGAGGTGCCCCAAGCCGCCTCCTGGGGGACCCCCACACGTTCCCCCTCCCAGCCAGGGCCCGAATCCTTACGGGGCCGCGTGCGGGTGGTGCCCTTCCAGAAGGTGTCCTTGTAGGGGATCTTGGTCAGGCTCTGGCCCAGCTTCTCTGCACGCTCTGGGGAGAGGGAGACGTTGAGCACTAGGGGGCTGGGGCGGCGCAGGCCGGAGCAGCCAGAACTGAACCTGAGGGCTCTTGTGACCACTGGGCCGGTAATTTCTGCCTGATGGGGAACTAACTTCAGAAAATCGGTCAAGTAGTTTTCCTACAGACGGTTAAACCAGATGCAAGAGCAGCACCCAGTCTGCACTGGGCCGGCCAAAGGCCTAGCTGACATGGCTCAAGGGCCGTGAGGTCCACTTAACATGTGGGAACGACGCTCCCTACGTCAAGTCTGGCCGCACAGAGGTGGGTTTAATTGGTGAACGAAATAATGAGCTGAACTATGCTGGCCCTTTGCCATCTTCCTGTTTGGGGTACGGAAAAATTCTCAGCTCCTTGTTCCTGCCCGCAGGGTCTCTCTTGAGGCAGGCCGGCCCGCAGGGCCCGCAGGGTCTCTAAGGCATGTAAGAGCCGTTCTGTCTCCCTGCCTTGTGTTACTTTCTGCCCCCCTCTTCCTTCCCCTATTCCCTCTCTCGCTTTTCACAGGATCCTGAAATCAACTGTACGGCACACATCAGCCCAGGGAGATGCGACGGCCCGCCAGCCCTGCCCTGTCTGAGCAGAAATGACCCAGCGGGGTGACATTCCTCACAGGAGCCAGGGACCAGAGCTACATGGGTCGTAGTCAGGAGTCACTTCCTCGCTGTTCCATTGTCCTACTGGTCTTATGGATGCCTCGGGAAGTCATGGACACTCCTTGGCTGGAGGTTTCCAAAGGAGGCTGGAGCCAGTTGTCTGGGATAGCTTAGACCCAACAAATCCCGCATCATGGCAGGGGTCAGACCAGCTGACCCTAGTGGGCCCTTCTAACCTGCCATCCCAAAGCATTCAACAGCCGCCCAGTGTTCCACGAACCCCAATGAAAGCCCCCACCTTTTCTATCCTTTTTTCTCCATGCTGGGTCTGTTTCTAAGGAACAGGAGAAGTGGATCCCTTCCCACAGCGGGACAGAGTAAAATTAACCTCTTCCTTTCCCGCAAAGACAGGGGGCTGGTAAAACGAGACTCACATAGTCTGCCTCCAAAACGACTCAAGGTTTGATTATGCAAAACAAACGCAAGGGTCAGTTTGGCTTGTTTTGGTTTCTTGTTCTTTCTGGGTTTTGATCAACAAACTTCCAACATTGGAATTGATGCATTCGAGTATCTGCGAGGAAGAGCAAAGCCCCGAGCCTCGGTACTGTTCCCAGGTTCAACCGTGGAAGAGTTTCACACCTTTAACTCTTGGAGAGCAAAACAACAGAGCCCTGGGCTAGCAATAGAGCTGAGGGAGCATGGCAGGATCGGAGTGGCAGGATCAGAAATGGGGGGGGAGGTTGGAGATGGGATAGTTGGGGGTAACTTGGTGGTGTGGTTGGGGCAAAGGGATTGGGGGGTGGGGATCTTGGGGCAGGGGGAGCAGAGGTAAGGGGTCACCTGAGGGTGCAGGGCAGGATGGGGGTTGAGGGGTGGAGGTGCAGGGTGGAATGGGGGGGTCACTGGGGCGAGGGATGCAGGGGCAGGGTTGTGCAGGGCAGAAGGGGGGGGTTGAGGAGCAGGTGGGGTGCAGGGCAGGATGGGGGTCACAAGGGGGTGGGGGTGCAGGGTGGGATGGGGATCTGGGGGGGCGAGGGCAGGATGGGGGTGTCACAAGGGGGTGGGGGTGCAGGGCGGGATGGGCGGTCCCCAGGGGCGGGGAGCTCCTACCTTTCAGCAGTTCGCGCAGTGGTACCTTGGCCTTGTCCACAGGCATCTCGCCATATTTGTTGGAGATGCTGATGAGGGCCCCGTTGCTCACCAGGTCCTGCGGGGGCAGGGCCACGGTGAGAACCCAGTGCCCAGCTCCCAGTCCCGCCAACCCCTATCCTCCCCCCCCCGCCCAGTCCCCCCATGCCACCCTGCCCCCCGCTCGTGGGGCCCTGCTCACCTCGGCCACCTGGTCGTGCCCCCAGAAGCAGGCGTAGTGCAGCGGCGTGTTCCCATGCTCGTTCACTGCATTGATGTCTGCCTTGAACTGTATCAGCTGGAAGGGAAGAGACAGCAGCCTCAGCTGGGGGGGGGGGTCGGCGGGGACACACACACTCCCTCCAGACACCACCACCCCCTGCCTCTAGACATCCCAGCTCCAGCCTCTCCCCGCTGGGGGAAAGGGCAGGGCGCTGGCTGCGGGGAGGGGGCTGCCAGCAGGGGCACAGGGGGGAGGACCAGGTGCTGACTGAACAGTGGATGCTCCCAGTAGGGGTGTTACAGGGAGGGGGCAGGGCGCTGGCTATGGGGCAGGGAGGGTACTGAGGGGGAACTATCCCCATAGAGTGTGCTAGCTGTGGGGAGCCCCAGCATAGGGGTGGGGGGGCTGGCTGGAGGGCTCGGCGAGGGAGCACCCGCACAGGGGCAGGGGGCTGGCTGGGGGACTCAGCAGGGGGCAGCCCCACCCAGTACCTTCTGCACAATGTCCCGGTGCCCGTGGCTGGCCGCCAGATGCAGCGGGGTGTCGTCGCCGCGGTTCATGACGTTGATACGGGCCCCCCGCATGATGAGCATGTCCACCACGGTGGAGCGGCCCTCACGGCAGGCCCAGTGCAGGGGGCTGAATCCGTGGTCGTCCCTGGGGAGGGTGGGGGGTGAGTTCTGGGGGGGCAGGCCCAGCACCATGCCCCAGCGGCCCCTCCCCTGCCCGGGCGGGTTCAGGGACCCCCAAGGCGCGTGGATCCATGGGCGCTGGGAGCAGGGAGGCAGCTGGCCTAAACCCCATTCCTGTGGGGCTGGGCTGGGGGACAGGGAGCAGCCAGAGAGGGAGGGGTAACAAGCAGTATGGGAACCCCAAGCCCTGGCAATGGGCTGTGGGAGTGAGGGGCCTGAGGGGGCTGTCTCCAGTCCTCTCCCGACCCCCATGTACAGGGGGACCCGGCGGCCTGGCCCAGTCTCAGCTGCTCCCAGCTGAGTCGCTGGCCTGGAATCCCTCCCCTCCTCCCCCCTCACCCCCGCCTAGTAAGGGAGGCTGAGAGAGGCCGGGCCTTAAAAGGAGATTCCAGCCTGGTGGCGGGTGGGGGGAGAGAAGGGGGAGCTCCCCCACCTGGCTCAGCCCCCCCACAGCCCCAGGGAGCCCCGCCACACCAGTGCAGCACCACAGTCCTGGGGAGCACCCCCCACCATACAGTCCAGCCCCAGAGAACTCCCCCTCCCCAACCAGTCCAGCCCTATAGCCTCAGAGAGCCCCCCCAACCTGGGGAGCCCCTCCATCACCCAATCCAGCCCCACATCCCCAGGGAGCATGTGCTCCACGCTGCCCTGCCCACAGCTCCGTGAGCTCCCACCCCCAGCCCAGCCCCGCCATCTGGGAGAGTGCCCACCCCCCATGGACACAGCACTGGTGACCTGTCCTCACTCCACAACCTCCCCTGTGGCTCCCCATTCCCTACCTTAAGCCACCCTCTGCTCAGGGCCCTGCCCTCATACCCGTCCCGCCCATGTGCCTCCCACCCTTCCAGCACTGTGCCCAGACCAGACCGCGGGGCCCTGCCCTGATACAACCCCCCCCCCATGTACCCCCCACCCCCCAGCACAGTGACACAGCTAAGCACAAGGGGTGGGAGCATGGGGGACAGAACTGCCCCAGAGGCCAGACCCAGGGTATGCAGCTCCCTGCCCAGAGACCCTGACCCGCCACAGCCCCTCAGGAGCCCCTGGGGCTGGCATCCGCCAGGGAGGGACTGACCCAGTGCCTGGCTGGGGTCTCCTCCCAACCCCCCTGGGGCTGAACATGAGCAAAAGGGGGGCCCAGGGAGGCAGCAGGGGAGCTGCATGAGGGATCATGTGGCAAACTAGTGTCTGTCCCCAGGCCCTTCACTCAGCCCTGGGCCTCTCCCTGCTGTGGTACCTGTCCTGCCAGCGCGCCCGGGCCCTTCCACCACGGGGGCCGAGTCCCAGGACAGAGCGACCTGCCCCACTTGGCTCAGCCGTGGCTCCTGAGGGGAGCTCGGGGCAGTGGGATGGATGCAGTGGGGGCAGCAGCTCAGGGGCAGCCCTTGCGTGCACGGATCATGGGGTGGGGCTGGCTCGGAGGCAGGGATGGACCAGACGGACCCGAGAGGCTCCCCAGCAGCTCAGACCCTCCAGACACTGCGCCCACTGCCTGGCCCAGGAGCCATCGCTGTGGCTTGGGCAAAGACAGACCAGCCGATTCCCTCAGGCCCCAGCCCCCTAAGGGCCCCACTGAGCCAGAGAAAGGCTCTGCCCATGCCTGGGGGCCAGGAGCCAGCTGCTCCTCCTGCGGCCCCAGCTGCAGACATGTGCTGCTCAGCCCGTGCCTTAGCGATGTCGTAACTTCCTGCTCCGGCGGGAGCCTGAATTCCTCCCCGCCCCGCAGGCCGCAGAGCGCTGGTGGGGCACAGGCTGCCGAGCCGCTGGGTCACTGACACCCCCAGGGGGCCCAGCTGAGCCCCCCTCCCCGGCAGGGTGCCCACACCCACCGCCCCTCCCCCGCAGGGTGCCCACACCCACCGCCCCTCCCCGGCAGGGTGCCCTTGCCCAACCCCTGCAGGGTGCCCACACCCACCACCCCTCCCCAGCAGGGTGCCCTCGCCCAACCCCCACAGGGTGCCCACACCCACCGCCCCTCCCCCGCAGGGTGCCCTCCCCCACCGCCCCAATCACCCCTGGTTGAGGTCGTTCTCAGTGTTGTCCAGCCAGAGGCGCACAGCCACGGCGTTGCCCTCCCGGCACTGCGTGAAGATGTCGTCCATCCCGGCTCCTGCAAGGGAGAGGGGCCCGTCAGCAGAGATGGGGGCTGGGCCCCTTGGACCATCCCAGGGACTCTGAGCCCATTTCCTGCCCCCTGCCAGACCTGGCCCCGCAGCCCATCCCCTGCGCTCCGACCCCCTTCCTCCCACACCGCCCGGGCGCAGCCCGACCCGCGGCCCATCCCCTGGGCTCCGACCCCCTTCCTTCCACACTGCCCTGGGCACAGCCCGACCCACGGCCCATCCCCTGGGCTCCGATCCCCTTCCTCCCACACCGCCCCGGGCGCAGCCCGACCCGCGGCCCATCCCCTGGGCTCCGACCCCCTTCCTTCCACAC